GAGAGCAGCTTATGGCTGCCCTCAGAACCTCCCTAGGGGTATGCAGATATTCTAAGCTATGGTTTTATGATATATGAAATGAGAGTGCCTTAGAAACAAAAGTGAAAGCCTTTATGGCCATTCCCAGTAATCATATATTACCTTCCAATTTATACATTCTCTCCTCTGCCAGTTGAGGTGGTCCTACTGTCTTGCCTGATTTAGATGGGTGTGCCTTTGTTGTAGACTTGCCATTGCTTGCGCTGGGCAGGTTGATAGGCTGCTTTTGGTGTAGCAGTTTAAATGTTTGTTATGCTCTGGGGAGCATTCTCAGATATACTTTCGCATATCTTGTTGATATTCAAACAGGTTTTTTATACCTATTAATGGTTTTGTTTCTTTATATACACTTTGCAAAGGGAGTTGATAGCTTTGTTTATATTGTACATTACAAATTGATCCTGGTAATAGATATGTATTGTCACAAGGTTTTTAGATTATTTGTTTTAAATAGAATACAAACTTGTAGCCCTTTATTTTGGGCATATATCTTCATAAAACTTCATAAACTTTAGCAGTTTTGTAAAGTCTATGGAATTGCTTAAGACTTGATATAGGTATTGGATACCTTCCTTATTTGTTAATAATAGTTTGGGGGGTTTGTTTAGCCATTGATCAAAGGTACCTCTTGCCTTCCAGCAGTGAACCAGGTGGGCAGGGGTTTTGGACTTTTCACAGAAGTATTCCGTATCTCCTGAATGCCCGAATTTCCTATGGTACTAGTCGAAATCCCTATGTAAGATTCGGATAGCTATCAGTCTATATAGGATTACTCATAGGAGTAGAAGCTCTGACAGTGGTTTGACTTTGTATACCAGATCCTATTATTTGTATTACAATGAAAAGGCTGGTTTGTATAATATCCATTATTCTTGGTAAGCCTCTTCTCTGAGAATATATGTAATCGATTTCACTTTGCTATACATGGGTTGAGATACTGATCCAATATCCCAACTGGATTTTTTAGCACTAAGATCGGCCAGGTGATTAATTGCCTTGTTTCCCTTGATATTTTCATATCCCAGTAACCATTTGACACGAATATCGTTGTCCTGTATAGCCTTGTAACAATTGTTAAATATCTATTATGATAATATAAAGATATTAGCCCTTATGCCCCAGATAACCAAAACATTATCGATATACATCCAGATTTTCTGATTAATATACCTAACATCCTTGAAAATACATTCCAGGCCTTTCCATACTCTGATAACTTTTGCATTGAAGATATGAAACTGGGTATTAATAAAACCGAAACCTGCCAGTATCTGGTTTTTATTTAGATATATTATATACCTATAGTCCACGATATATTTTTCTTTTATATAGTTTTCCGATCTATCCAAGAAGATAATAATATCTATATCTGATAGGTTTTCCCACCAGGTATTGAAGGCTTTTGCAACTGTTTTCTTATCAATCCCTTCTGTTAGATCTGTCCGGTAGTCTAGTATATACCGTAATATCTCGAATATAAGCCTTGGGATTGGGGGGACAAAGAGATCTAGTTGTTGGACTTTGGTTTTTGCTCTTTATCTTGTGTCTGTATCTTACCCTTTAATAATTATAGGAAATTCAATTCTTTTTGTAAACAGATGGGTTATATCTATACTTTGAAGATATAGGACAAACCTCAATTTGGCTTTCTTGAAGACTACTATAACTGAGAAGAGACCTGTTTCACAATAAAGGGCAGTCACCAATATAATTTTCTAAGTTGATATAACTCCTTATATTGCTATTGTAAGAATCTTTTCGATTTATATCACGTATCAGTCAAGGCAGATGTTAACCTTTGTTTATCCTGATTTTAATTTTTGTATTGCCTTGAATCTATCTTTGTACCAAACCTTAGTTCTATATAGGAGTAAGAGAAGTATATATATAATTATTGTCTTGTATATAATGTGTACTGGGGGGCTTTGTATAATTTTGGTTAGACCTTGTATATACTTTGCCACTGTTCTGGCTTTTCCTATGTGTTCAATGATATGCCTACGAAAGTTCAGTTTTCTATCGAACCATATTCCCAGCCATCTCAGTGTTAGACAAGTATTTGTTTCTATGGCCATTATCAGGTAGATCGTGAGTTTTTCACTAATCCTGATAACAGGTGTTATATTGTTATTGTTTATAGAGATATAGATTATTTCCAGCTTCTCTGGAATGAAGATGATACGATTGTTTGTTCCCCATTTTATGATGTCTTGTATATCCATAATGAGATATTTAATATTTTTTTCCAGGATTTTGGATGCTCTATATAAGCATATATCGTTTGTATACCTAAACCTGAGAGAAGTATCTTTTGAAAATAGTTCCGCCAGGTACAGTATATACAAAACTGGTAATAGGGGGGAATCTTGCGATATTCCACAGACTACTGGGTATTCTTTGATTATAGTTTGCTCTAACCATGTTCTGACTTTCCTTTCTGTTAGGAAAAAGTCAACTAGCAGGAGTAGATCCTTAGGCCAGCCTTATTTCATTATTCTAGCAAGGAGTCGTCTTTTGAGCAGTGCGTCGAAGGCGCCTTGTACGTCCATGGTGACTATGGTCACTTTCTTCCCGGCCGCTAGTGCTGTTTCCACATCGTGTGTGAAAGACGCTACCAGGTCCATTGTGGAGCGTTTGGGTAGGGCTCTGCTGTGTTGGGGGCTGATAATGCCGTGCTTCAGGGCTGTCCAGCCTAGTCGTTTGGCGATTATTCTTTCCAGGCCTTTTCCTATACAGGAGAGCAGAGTAATGAGTCTCCATGACCTTACGGATGTCATGTCCTTTTTCCTGACTTTAGGTAGTATAACTACTTCAGCTAGCTTCCAGGTTTTCGGGAAATGACTGTGTTCAAGGCATTTCTGGTAGAGCCGTCTTAGTGGGTCCTTGAGGTAATCCTAGCAGGCCTTGAGGATTCTGACCGTGACTTGGTCAGTTCCTGGGGATGTGCTGGATACTCCAATTACGCTTGCTTCGACTTCTTCCAGTGTAAGTCGAGAGTTCCAGGGTAAGTGCCTGCTTCCTTCCCACTGGTCTCCCAGTGGGTCGTATTCCAGGTCATCCTCCGCGCTAAAGCGGTCCAGAATCTCAGTCCTGAGCACTTCGGCTTTTTCCATTGCGTCTTTTATTACCACTCCGTTTGAGGTGATTAGGGGGCTTTTGAGATTCGGGGCTAGCTTGATTGATTG